CTTAGCTGAAGAAAATAAAAAGCAAATCAATAATAGCAGTTAGCCTGAGCCCAGTGATTTGTTCAAACTTGCCAGCAGTTCTGTGTGAACTCTAGTCAGTATCTGACTAAGCTGTTATACTTTTTTTTTTTCCCTTTCAGCTTGGCCTCTGCCAGCTTTCTCCCCAAATACTTCAGTTCCAAATGGAGTTTTTCCAAATTTCAGGTTCCCTCCGGCTCTCCGTGCATTTGTGCCTTTGGAACAGAGCCAAATGCTGTCATAGGTAAGTAGTGTTTTTTTTTTTTCCTGGGTTCTGCCTGGAAAAGCAGGTTTTGAACTACACTTGCTTTGAGCTGGAAGGAACGCGCAGATAAGACAAGGTCGCATACCTATGTCAGCCACAAACACGAGCTATCACTGCTGAACAGTGCAGGGAGCAAGATTAAGCCACACCGCGGTGGGAAGCCAGCCTGCCTGCCAGCCTGCATGCAGCGCTAGCCTACTTGATTGCTGCTGTCTGTGCTAACTAGCAGACAACGCAAGAAGAAAGACTGATTTTTATCTCAAATGCTCCCAATTTTTCCAGAATACCTCTGTGCATGTTTAACTGGCGTGAAGGTCAGTTTAAGTAAGTTGTAGCTGAAGTGACAGAGTACCTCGTAACCAGCTGAACTTAAAGGGATTTTGTTTTTGTTTCAGCAATATGTGCAGATGGCAGCTACTACAAGTTCTTATTCAACCAAAAAGGGGAATGCTCAAGGGATGTCTATGCTCAGTTTCTAGAAATGACTGATGACAAGCTTTGACTGAGTTGAGGGAGTGCATGGGTCACAGTACTGCCTTGGCTATTCTGCATCTTTGGAAGGACAGTGTATGAATGTCCAATACCGATCAAGAAGTTTAGCAGACCTCACTGAGAAGCCTGGCCCAACATGATCAGAACAAGCTCTGAAATAGTGGACTACGTATGTTTATTCTCATTTCTGCAAGCATTCATCATTAAAAAATCTCTTTGGGTTACTGTCATCAACTCAAGTTTTCAAGACATGGCTTTCAACAAGCTTGTGCCTATTGGGTTTCTCTTAATCTAAACTGTGAAACAACTTTAGGTTAAACATGAGTGCCTGCCACACTAAGAGATCTGCTGGGGGGGGGGGGGGGGTAAAAATGTCAGGACTAGCCTTAGAAAAAGAGATATGAAAACAGAAGATTTTAGGCGTTGCTTTACTTCCACTGAGCTGCTGAGAGAGTGGGGAATACACAAATCCGAGTGAGCTAAATCCAGCAGCCTGGCTAGGAGCGGGAGTACTGGTTTTCCCCCGACCATATCCTAGCGTTACAGAGGAGAAGAGATGACTAGCCTATAGCCATAGGAAACTGTAGCTTGAGCCATGCTTGTCCTCTGATCTGGTGCGTGGGGTTCGGTGGTGGTAGTCCTGGGGCCGCAGGCTGCTGCCTGTGTATACACACTGATGTTGGTTCAGTTGAATGATCAGCACTAATTGTCAAAGGTGCCAAACTGTATAGAGCAGAAGGCGGCGCGTTGAGGCACTCGTTGACCTAAGTAAACACTACTCAGTGTATGAAGTAAGCACACAGGATACTTGGGCAAGTGAGACTTCTGTATTTGAAAAGAGGTGTGATTCCTTCTGTAATGAAACAGCCATTCCAGGTTGAGAAGCCACCCTCAGTGCTGGTGTGACAACTGCAGCGACTGCTTCAAAAACTGCTGTGCTTCAACAGGAAGACGTGACAGGCCACGTACCCATCCAGCACAACACATGAACCAGGTGGCATGAAGTATACGCCTCTGCAATGGCTTTAAACTCGCAAACTTTTTTCTTTGAAGTGTCACATACATACAAAGTATTGTTGGTCTAGGGGCAGTTAGGTTAGATTAAACCAACCGACTTGTAAACTTTTTTTCTCAGAATTGTTTTACGGCAATTAATAGTTACTGCTGAACTAAGGCACACGATGCTAAACTAGAACCTGAAATGGACACAAGCGCTCCGTCAACAGCACTAAATAGCTGGGGGAGGGAAGTCTTGCTCTTCTGAAATTTAATTTCACAGATGCTTCAAATCTGACATCCCAGTTCACTCTACGATTGTTTAGCTGCAAACTCTCTAAAGTTGACAAGTTTCTTTTAGTGTCACATAACATACTAAGGACTAACTTCTACGCAGATTTTGACGTCAAGTTTGCATGTTGCTTTTATGTGTACTTAATCACAGAAATTGTTTTGCACACTTATTTGTAATATGTTATTTCTTTTAAATAAAAGTGACTAATTTTGCTGTATGCACTTAAGCAGTAGCTTAATTACAGGATCACAAACAAAATGTCTATTGCCAGAGGTTTTGGAGAAGAGCTATGTCACTGAGTAAAAACCGGTGGCCGCTGAAGGAAGGAAGTGGATTACTGCTGACAGTGGCATGTTGGGCGTGAAGTACACAAATTACTACTTGGGATACGTACGTACACTGATTTGTACCGAAAAGAGACTGTTTCAGCCAGTCAGACTGCCAGTGAGTGCATACTGCGTTTGTCCCAAGTATCCAGCTGTAGCTCAGCACTACTTACTGCACCGTTCGCAGGAGCAGCTGCTCTGTTTTCAGAACAGCTGCACCAGTAGGAAAACAACCGAGTGGAAACTGCAGTCGCGCAGTAGACGCATGTGTGCAGGAAGGTGTTAGAAACCAGTCTCTGAGAAGGATTTATAATCCTTTGTCTCTGCTGCAAGGGAATCTGGTGCAGAACTGCAAGCTGTTTATGATCCAGTCAGCCGCACTCACCTCAAGTAGCAAAGCAACTGCTTGAACTAAAACATCAAACCTTCTGCACGTTGCTTTGAAGGTTTGACATTTCTTCATCTGCCGCAGCACCATCCCCATCTGCTTCCATTAAAGCTACCGTATAGTTTATCAGAGAAAAGTCTGAATAAATTTCTTACTTGAGAAAAGCTATTCTGCACTTAAAGCTAGGGCGTTCTAGGGCGACGACGAGCACGGCAGTAACACTAACTACAGGCCCACGCGCTACTTGCTCTGCTAATGAAGGAAGCGCCACATCCTTAACACACACCTAAATAGATTTAATCTCCAATTTCTTCTTGTTGTACTAGTTGCAAGTCATCATCTTTAAGTATATAAGCTATTTTACAGGAAACAGGTTGAAAATTAGTTGAAAGAATGAGTCTTCCCACCTGCTGTAGGCTCCAGCTCCTCTGCCAGTGCTTCCTCCTCGGGTCACTGTCTGCTGTACTGCAGCACGCAGGTAACGTTAACCAAAATTTGCATTAAGTAGGATATTGGATAAACATACCTCTACAACCAAATGTAACAGTACTTTAATTAGTCACTTTGGAGAAAAGTACACAGTACTGTAAGTAGCAGTAGTTAAACCATATGTATCCACAGTGTTGATTTACGCTTGAAGTTTCCAGTTACACCGTGAAGCTCAGAGCTAAGATGGGCGACAGTACACTCACTCGCTTGTGTGATGCACAACAGGAATAGTCACTCACCTTTTGGGACTTACAGAAACCAACGCTCTTAATGCGCTAAGAATCGCTCTTCTCCACCGGGAGGGAATAATTACTTAAGAGAAGGCAAGTCTTACAATAAGCCAGAATCACCAACCAGCCGCCTTTCAAACCTACCATGCTCTGTAGGAGGCTGGAGAGTAAAACGGGGAAGGCAGACTATCAGAAGTCTACTTTATGTGACAGAAGAGGATTAAATAGATGTTAAAATGTGAAGTTGTTAGCTTAAGAGAAGTCCAGAGGTCCAATAACATTTAGTCCTTTAAGGACAGTTGTCTTACCTAGGCGCAGGTGGCTTTGGGAGAGAGCCCTTCTCAAGTAAAGAGCCCTCCTGACCAGAAGGGAAACACGTCAGGGGTGCGCACTGTGTTAGTCTTGCAGCCATGAGAAAGTTGCAGATTTTGCATAGTAAATAAATCTAAAATTATGACTGTTTATGAAAAACAATATACTTTTACCCTCACCAGCTATTTACTTGTTAGCCGATGGATTATTAAATTTATCTTTGTACTTCTAGTAAGCAAACGCTTCCTTTCCCCCTGTATTGCCATCTCCTTCCATAATACCTGTGCCACTGTTCAAAATCCTGAAAGTAAAATTAAAAGGTTAGCCAGTGCAATAAATTCAATTGTTAATTCCAGGTACTCGCCAGCAGGCAGCAAAAGTCACATAACAGAGTATTTCTTTCGAAACCTTTAGGCATTCACACCGAAGTAGAAAATATAAGATTAATTGGTAACGCTAGAGAATGCTGGACACAAGACTAGTTCTTATATAGGTAAGCTGAACGAACCTGGGGGGTCACAGCTGACCCGCACACAAAGGCTGCAGAATAAAGTGCGTTTTGGAAAGACAGTCTTGTTGCAGAATCACACGCTAGTGAATCGACCACTTTCTTTTCTTCTTCCCCAAAGGTGCTGTTTGTTTAAACAAGCCAATGATTCCGTTCGTTCTCGTTTCTAAGAGATCCTACAGAACTTCCCACAATAGTCCCTTCTTCCTTTTTCCAAAGAAATAGGTTATGCTCTTTCAGCTTCAAATATTCTAGCCCTTTACAATAGTTTTGTGGCCCTCCTTTGATTTCTCCCCAAACATTTCCAAAACTTTCTTAAAAGTATTGACATGAAAACCAGATACAGCATCCTCGGAAGTTTTTCTAGTGCTTTACACAAAAGCATTTCTCCAATTCTGATGAGAGGCAGGAACAATTCAAGTCATGTTTAAAGAGAAGATCAGAGACCAAGCCAACATTAACGGAAATCTGCTTTAGAAAGTACGCATCTGATTAAAGCGCTTCAAAAAATAATTATAATTATGGCAGTCTCTACTTAAAAAAAAAAAAAAAAAGCCACAGATGTAGTGATTTAAGTCAAATCACTGAGCTAATGCAAATCCCTGGCTAAATACTGGTAAACAGCCTCAAATGCTAACACAACTTTTGGGAGAATGAAGCTCTTTGATACTTGTAAAAAGTACTTCTTAATTCAAAGCCTCGCTTGATGAGCAGCTGGGAAAGAAAACAAACAGGAGCAGGAGCAGGAGGAAAGCTTGTTTCCATCTGCCAGTCTACAAGGAGAGGTAAGATCAAGACGACCCAGGTGACCACAAGCACTTACTAACTCTAGACACTGCCTTTACCTATTTATTGTGTGTCAGAGTTCAAAACAAAACAAAAGACCTTTCTTCTGTAAGTACCAGCACATTTAAGGTATGCAGCTCAACAAATGTAGCAGAAGTTTTACTAAATGAAGGCCTCGTCATTAAGTACTATAACGTCTAAGAATCTAATTAAGAACGTTAAACTATATAGCTAAGGCAAGCGTAGAGAAAGGGGTCATTCAGGTTAGCAGAGAGAAAAACTCAGTTTAGTGTAAATGTCATATATATATAAAATCGCAGCTCAACACGTATGAATGACTAACCACCCGTGAAAAATTAACCTTTTGAGGAAATTAAGTAAAGCTATGAAACAAATCTGAATATAGACCGTTAATTTTAAGTTCTGCTTTTTGATTTAAAGCAGTTACCAAACCCAACAGTTTAAAAGCAATCTGCACTATTACCACCATGAAAATAAAGGCAGAATCTTCCCAGTTTTGTCTCCTGCACAGTAACGCGTACCGTCAAGCGGCTTACTCGGCCAAAGGGCTTTTGCAGATACCTCTGGGATTAGCATGGTATAGGTACTGTACCTAAATCAGCAAAATCAAAACCTGCATAATAAAGAGCTGCTACCATTAGGGCAAACACGATGCAGCAAGCTGGGGGGGGCTCAGAACCGAGCCAACTTCACCCATCAGTACGAACGAGTCTCTTGCTCCGCTCCATCTGCGGTTCCCTCACTGTCGTCGGGAGCCGGTGTCACTTTGCTGCGTCACGTGATACTTACAGAGCTGGCCTTGCCCAGGCACTGTGCTGCCTCCTTCGCAAACCCCGAATTTGTCCCAGCTGGGCCCTGGGGCGCTGCCACGCGGTGCTGCATCAGAAACACAGCTAGTGCAAGGACAGGGAGAGTCATCTCGGGCAAGGACAGAGCGCGCAGGAGCAGACAAACCCTTCTACTACTACTACAAGCGCGTGCATACTCACATCTTCCATTGCTAGAAGCCCTAGTCTTCTAAACGTATACAAAAGCAGCACACCACCAACGCCCCCGCCTTAGACCAACTTCCTGAGTCTCTCAAACATAAAGGAACCCCAACCTGAAGCAATGAAAATTAGACCAACCTTTCTTAAGAAAAGTAGCTGGGGTAGATTTTAGGATGGGGTCCTTAAAGCCCGATTAGAACAGGACATGTTGTTTGCTTACATCCACAGTCATTTTCAAAGACTGCACAAAAGCTGACTTGACCAGAAATAACATAAAGTCAGTCTGGGAGGAGCTCACAAGGAAACAATACCAAGCAGCACAAAGCACAAAAGGCAACCGGCCAGGTTGTATCAGTCCTAAAGAGAGGTCAAACCTCTACCTACACGAACCACTTGAGGAAATTTTCCATTTGCAAAAGACAGGCTGTGCTGGCTGTAGGTGTCCAAAAGGATCAGAGCTTACCACCACCCGTGCAAAGGTCACGGGCGTCACGCTGGAAGCAGCGGCGTGACAGAAGTCTCATTCAGCCTTTGACACTACCTAGTAATCACCCCTGCACTAACAGCGGGAAGCACATAAATATATAAGCAAACCAAAGAACAGCTGTGCTTGAGCAGCCCGGCAGCTCAGCGAGGCCTGGCACCTACGACAGGGAAGCCCTGTGCTGCCTTAGTCAAAAGGCCCAGAGAGGACTGCATTCAGCACCGCCCGCAAGCATGCGTAAGCGTATGTCACGTTTACGCAAGAACCTAAGTACTCTTTTCTCATATTTCACAGCTTTTTCAAAGCATTTATCCGTCTGAACGAAGGCCAAATCCCACATGCACCAAAAGGTGTAAGACAACGACACGCTACCGAATCAGGACCCGGCCCAAATTCGCTCTCCCTCTCCCCAGGAGGATGCGATTTACAGCTTGCCTGCCACCAACTGCTCGTCAGGACCCCCTGGGCTTTTTTGGTCCGATACCAGTTCCTTTGGCACCGCCAACATAAATTGAAGTAATCGCCCCAAAATAGACAGAAGTATTTCAAACACATTGGTTGAGTAATTTCAACTTTGTTATTTTGCTGAATAAAATTTAATTTTATTTAAAAAAATCTTATACACTATTATTCACCTAGCCCTAGTTGTGAACAGATTCTCACTTCTGAAAATAAACCACATTCTAGTCAACTCATTCAACACCAAATTAAATTACTAGTACTGGATTTTGTTTCTTAAAAAAAGTATGTTAAAACTTTACTTTTTTATTTTTAAAACCTCTAAAGAAAGTCTTGCAGTTTTACAGAAATGTTTCTTTTCAGGTTATACTTTTTTAAATGCCTGTTATAAATTCAGCTTGTGTAGAGTTTTTTCATAATTTTTTAATATGTATTATCTGCAGAGACATTGTAACAGCTCCATTGTGTGGATTAACACAAAACTTAATACAGGTTTCTTGTATTTGGTCTTCAGGTAAATAGTTCCCAAAAGCTGCCTAAATAAACCACTCCAAACTGTTCAGTCCATCATGAAAAATACAGTTTTTCCTTTTGTAGTGGAAAAGGAAATATAAATAATGCATCATTATTACAGAAAATGACAAAAATCAGAATTCAAAATTAAGCCAACTATCTAGCTTTCACTCACCTTACTGCATGAAGAAATAAGACGTTACGTGAATTAAAGACTGAACAGCAGCCTTATGTTCCAATTTAATTTTGAAATGTAAAGTGGAATCTATTACCACATTTAAAGTGAGAAATTACCAGTACATTGTAAAATGTTCAACTGCAGAACACACACTTAAAAAAAATTTTTTTATTATAATAATACGGTAGCCACTGTTAGAAAACCACAACAGCTACTCTTAATGGGGACCCCAAAAGGTCCGTGTATGACATCAAAAGTGTTACGGAGAAACTGGTCGGATTAACGTCTACTGATGGGTGCTTAAGCTTAAAAATATCGAATATACCTCTGACAAGATAATTTTACTCTCTTTTTAAAAGGACTTGTGATAAAGAATTTTATCTTTTCTAAATGAAGAACAGTCTGTTATCTTAAACATACACAATATTAAGCGAGACTCTTGTTTTACTTTAGACTGGAAAAATATGCCAGGGACAGTCAAAGTCAACACAAAGTAACAAACAGCAAAAGGTAGCAGAAAGAGAAACAGATAAGTGCAGCTCTGGTCAAATTCATAGCAGTTCTTTACGTCAGTTAACGGCTCATTTACATTGTAATTTCTAATCAGTTACATGCAAGCCCGAAGAAGCATTTGATCACTACACATGGTAATAAAATCTGATTAAATTTATCAGGCAACTGCTAAAATATGAAAATTTGCAGATGTAATAAAGTAGCTTTATCTGAACTTTAACAGGACAGACAAAAGTAAATCATTCCATCGGTTAAAAAAAACCCTACATTCAGTTTTTTTACCAAACAAAATTTCACATGAAAAGTATTGTGTGATTCCAAAGTTTCCGGAGTAGAAATGGAGTGATTTGAAATGTCAAAGACCCCATTAGTTTGCAAAGAAATGAAAATACACCTCAAAAATTTCTAATTCCACATGTGAACAACAAAATACTGCATATCTACCAACAACTGCATCGGGTAGGTCATTATGAAAGGCTAGCTGCCAAGATGTAGGAAATGGCTCCTTGCCTCTGTTCCCTTTAAGGAATATACAATCGTTTGAAACCAGTTCACACTAAGCGCTTATCATGCTGCCGTTACACTGAGATACTCAGTCCTTAAAATAATCTGATAAAGATTTTTTTAAAGCTGCAGCCCTCCCCAACACTGTATTTCTCAGTGTACACAGTTCAGTAGGGGGCAGGGAGGAGCGGGGGTCACAGCCTCTGGAACAAGATGGTTTGCAGTTTGACTTTAAATTACCAAGTTTTAAGGCCACCTGTGTTGGGTTTTTGTTTTTGTTTTTGTTTTTTTTTTCAGTGCTGAAAGTTGAAGTCTGATCACAGGGCCCCTTTCCCCACTGCGTGAGAACATGTTCCAACATTTTAGGTGTTATATTTAAGTGTCTCCTTTTGGCACCACGGAGTTTATTTTTTTTTTTTTTTAAAAAGAAAAAAGAAAACTCCTCTAAGTTTCTAGTTCTGGCTGCCTTTATCACTCACTGCCACAGACGGGGTGTCCACGTTAACAGCTATGACTATGCTTTCTCCATCTTCTGTTTTGATACGTTTGAGTTCCTGCTGTTCTGACTGGTCTCCGTTCTGGCGCTTTGTTGGAAGAGATGCCGATGCAGACGCATGGGTTGCTAACATATGCAAAGGACTTGCAGCAGCTGCAAAAAGATGAACAAAATTTCAGCACCCTAATCCTCATCAAAACAGCAGGCAAACTTGCATTGTCATTAACGTGACGCTTTCCGTTATTTGTACCGCGGTGGGGGGTACTGGCAATCCCGGTTGCGATTCAGGTGCGATTGTTTCGTCGTCGTACAAACCTGAGAGACCTCGTCCCAAATCACTCAACCTTCATACGGATAAGGGCAGAGGTAGGGAAGGAGAGGTATCTCCACTTTGTCAAGGAGGAGCTGAGACAGAGAAAGATTAAATGACTGAAAGCCAAGCTACACAGTAACTGGTGACAGAACTGGGGAGTGAACTCAGAGTCCCCTTTGAGCAGGATCTGGCCGTGTGTATGGATTACTGTGAAACGCGTTATTTGGCCTGGCCGGAAAGCACCACCAAGTCACGCTGCTCATCTGTGGCGATACATTATTAAATAAAAGCTATGCAAATTCACACAGCCATGAGATGAAGACAACTCAAGTATCAATTTCTCTTACAGAGATGATGCATGTAGCACAGTGCAAGGAAAAGGCAGTGCTTTAAACAAGAACTATTAAGAAATGACCTATTTAATCCGTTTCAAATGCAAGGCTGAACTCTATTAGATCAACAGAAGCATATATAGCCGTCACACATGCTACACAAGATTTTAATCTCTCTCATTACATCACCTGGAAGAGGTTAGGTATTACAGCAGTCAACTTGAATGGGAGAGCACGTTCCTTTAAGCCTTCTGAGACATCCAAAGGCTCTCTCCGTCTTCGGGGTAGTCTGTTTCTCAATACTGACTTTATTAAACAAACTCTCTAAATGTTTTTGCAAACAACGGGAAATACAATTATGTATTTGTCGCATTTCATGAAGTTTTATCTAAACATGAGACCGCTTGCTCGTTCGCATCCAAGCTCCCTCTCTTCAGCATCACAGCTTTGCTGAGCTGACCGGAGCGATCCCCACTAGTGGAGCTTAAGCATGAAACGCCCAAGGAAGTCTCATTTGCTGAACCTGTTCTATTTGTTCTTAGTAAGCTACACAAGGGAATGCTTGGAAAAGCATCACTGCGTGTAACCAAACTGTGAAGTACCCAATGTTTACTAACAGGACAAACACATCAGGAAATACTTAGCCAATACAGAAAGCCTCACTGCAACTCTAAACTAATTTGCTCTTCTATTGCAACAGTCATTCATCTTCTATCAGAAAAGCTACTCCTTATACAATTTCTGGACAGATGTCTTCTGAATAAGATGTATTACTGAAGATTTATTGTTGCTTAAATAAGAACATCTTAAAAGAACAAGTAATACTGAGTTTAGGGTCCCACAAGTGACCTGTTCATCCACTACGCAACCACGTTCACCATCTACTTGTTGCTGCTTTATTTCTACCTTAGGTATCCTCACGCAAAACAGCATACTCTATGGAGAGGTTAACCCTTCCTCTTCAAACGTGCTTTACAAGCACTGCTGCGTTACACGCTGTGCGGTCTGTTTAGTAGAAAGAGACTTGCTGGCTGCAGCCACAACCGACACGTGGAAGCGCTAGAGCAAATACACAAAAGAACAACGACGTCTGAAGTCTACGCTGAAAGCCAGAATAAAGCATATCCGGGTACACAGCTGTATTCTGCAATAAGAGATTTGAATTTATTCTGGGCTTCGCTGCTTTCAGTTAAGACTGACAGGTAGTAAAACTGTGCCAGACGCTTGCGGAGGGTAAGATTTGAAAGAACCTTCTAACTACAAACAGAAAACGTTACAAGAGCAGTAGTTTGGATTTCTTAGCTTTCAGATTGCACAAAGCTGCTTTCCCCACACACAGATATACGCACATGTACAAAACATGCGTGAGTGTAAATACCGATGCGTGTGTGTGAAGACAGGTCTATGTGTACACACACACACACAAACAAATCAGTGTATTTCTGTAGGCCTAGTTCCCACTTTAAATGTTTTGCCTGAGAATTACCTGTTACTGCTGCTTTAGGAATTACTGTGACAGAGACCTGGAGTGGGAATGCACCCAAGATGTGAACATCTCGTGTGATGTTTAAGCCCTGGAATCTCATAGTGAAAACCCCCAAGACTGCAAGTGCCCCCAGCACACATGCCAAAAGAGTCAGAGGTACTAGAACGGCATTTCTACAGAGTCAGATTTTTTAAAAACGCCTAACAGCCATTAGGCTTTCCTACCAAGGAAAACATGTTGACATCCGTTCAGTTTTCAGAATCAACAGCAAAGACAGAAAGAATGTGCTTTTTACTTTTAAAACATAATTGTCATTGTATTTCACGTCTCAGCTCAATTCACCCACCACCTTCTGACAAAAAAAAAAAAAAAAGCATATATGAAATCTGACGCTGACCGGTTTTGCTTTACTGAAGCTGGAAACAAAGTGGAAGCAGAACACTGACCTTTCAGTACCAAGCTTCAGTAGGAAAACCAATGCTATAGATGGGAAAATAGTAAAAAGGAAGCAAATCATTTGCTCCACCAGTAAGACTTTAGAGCAGAAATGCATGTAATAAATTGACTTAGTAGCTTAAAACTATTCCCATAAGCCTCTTTTATGACAAAGTTACTGCAGTATTAGATAACATTACCTCCAAGTGAAACTGTTGAAGCAAATTATATTCACCTGCTAACCAAAACTAAACAGATCTGTGCAAGCTGTGAGGAAGTCCGGCCTGCTACCCACTCAGACTGCTGAGCCTGAGAAGGGAAAGACAGTATTCAGACAGACGAGAACGTTCTCCAAATCTTACAGGACGCTTGTCAATTGTAATATCTTGCTTTTCCACAGTTTCAATAAAAACAGTGTATTAAATAAAACAACAGTCCAAATAGCCAGCCCACAAGCCAAATTTTGTCTTGCCTTCCTTTTGGCTGGTTCTTGACCAAAACATCTGGGAGGCAGTTACCATTTTAATTACATTGTTTTACAGGAACCTCTTTTAAAATTTGTTTTTATTCTGAGTTTACTGAGAAGGGAGGAAGGGTTGTCATCACTAAGTGCATCCCTATAATGACCCCAAAGGGGATAAATAACTGCTCAGGTAATCATCAGTAGAAAGAAACACTAGTTCTTACCAAGAGGGAGGAAACAATCTCTCGTTGGGAGAGAGCGTAATCTAAATTTTTTGGTACAATTTAGACGGTTTTCAGTATAACTATAAAAGACACGAGATTAGAATTCAAATTCATTCAGCCCTGGCCACGTGGAGAAGTTTTAACAAGTCTGACACGATACGTACCAGCGTTGCCTTGTCCTTGTATCGCAGTGGTGATAGGTACTATGTGCGTTCCGTTCTGTGTTACAGTTTTTATTGGTAGCTGGTGTTGACCTAGAGGTGCCTGTTGCACTATAGTAACTGTCTGTAAGGGTGCGGTCTGAGATGTCTGAATGATACGACTAGCAGCTCCTATCGTAGCATGACTAATAGCAGGTATAGGCTCCACTTTAACTGGAAAGAAGATAAAGCACTGTTAAAACAAGAAAGCGTTAAAAGCCAACCTCATCTAATTTCATCAGATCAGACCGTCAATGAAAAAAGTATTCCGTTTTATTACTAGCCTCAACATATCTGAGAAATTAGGATGCAAAAACCTGAGAAATTATGCAAAATCGCCAGTTAGGTCCAGCCTTTCAACTGTTCATCTTGAAGTAAGTTTCAAACAATACTCCTTCGGTATAAAGAGCTACTGAAACAGCTAACCCCCACACGCTCTCACCTTTTACTTCCTTGTGGTCTCCATTCTCTTGAGGTTCCACCTTGGGCTGGGTTACCATCGCAGCTTGCGTGACTACCGCCTGCCCAGCTACAGTGTAAGTGTTTGCTGGTGCTAATCCAGTCACGTTTGTGACAGACACAGCTGGTATCTGGTGAACAACATGAACTGTCTGAACTACAGGCTGCTGGGATGTTGTTGTTGTCACAGGAGTTGCAACAGTGTAGGTGACGGGTTTAATAGTTTGTGGTAGCTGCCGTTGTACAGTAATTAAAACCGGTTGGCTAGATAGAGGTGATCCTATCAAGAAAACGATAAACATTAGACTGCCGATTTGAATGATTTCTGTTAAGACAGTCATCCTTTCAAACTTTACACTACAGCCTCGGAGGATTTACAAGCTCCTTGACTAATGATCCACAAGATAAAACCGGACAATAAAGATCATGACACGCGGCTACTCTCAGCCACGTTTTCACGAGAAACGCTGTATTAGCACAGTAAGACCTGCGCGCCGTTCAGGCGCAACTGCCCCCCTACTGCAGGTGCTGCTATCCTGGCAAAGCTATGTTTAAGGCTGGTTTAGTGAAACCACTTTCTGTAGAGGAAAACCAGCACGCGCTGCAGGTGTTCTGCGGGGCGCGTCTGCGGCAGCACCCCTCGCAGCTTCCTGGGCTGGGGAAGCCTGGCCACCGCTGCTCTGTTTACCTCTGCTTTCTGTTGCCACAGAAAACTCTGTAAATATTAAGGTGGCCACTGTAACTTTTGGGGGAACATCACCAAGAAAATGGATGGAAAAACATACATTAAAGTAATTAAACGGAGAACTCCTTTTTCCCATTATCCCCTCTCTCTCCCTCATTTTAGGAAAATTCTTACCATATAGATTTATTCTTGCCCCCTTTAGCCTTTCAATTCTTTTCATCCCCAGCTCTGAAAGGATGAAACGACCACAAACACATACTACCGTTACACAAGACGTTTGCTTACTACTGTAACCCATGCCCTAACGTTAAATTATTTTTTCTAAACCAGAAAGAGCATGTTTCCAAAGGAAGTGGCAACCGTTACAAGACGGCGCAGTCCTACGCAGGACAAAAGTACCATCTCTGCTTGGTCGCAAAGGGACCAAGGATTCTGGAGCAACACGTAGAGAGTAAAGTCTGTACGTCCACACGCACTGTTTACAGGGCACGTTTACATGTTTCTCAGTGCTTCGCTCTAAATGTTAATAGGTTAAATATTTACCGGTGTTTTGGTGTACGTGTGAAGTCTCAGTAAGTTTAACACATTAGCCCTCTCCCACCTCCAACCCCTGAACGTTTTTTCAGGGCTTCTCACCTGGGGCACTCTGTGCAAACCGTGCTTCTTGTATTACTGCTAGTTTTGGCTGGATAGCGCTAGGCTCAGGCTCCATCGGGACCGGAGATCCTTCCCTGGACAGGCTCTCGGGGGTCTGGACTCCGCTGGAGTGGGCGGACAACACTCCAGAGTGATTAGGAGAGGCTGGGGCACTTCTGTATTTAAAAACGAAAGCAGCAGCTGATGTGTTTTAACTCCTGCACCGTGAAAGGCGAGTGACCTTGCTCTAAAGCGCCCGTAACACGCGCTGCCCGCAGGGGGGCACCTCTGCCTTCTGGCAAGCGCAGTTGTGCTCATCGATACAATTTCTGTTACCCAAGAACTGAGTTTAAAAGCAAACTTCAGCTATAGTTAACGGCACAGAAGTGGCTGGATGCTTTCTCGGGGAGATTGTCTAAACAATCTGTGAGACGTTATGAACGTTTCTTCTGGCGGGGAAGAACGATGAGCAAATCTCAGCCTAAAGGGCAAGTCAAAAACAAATCTGCACCAGCAGGAAGGCTGTAACTTTACATGGCGAATAATTAAAACGCACGCTATTTCCCCATCGCAAATACTGCTTAAACATTATCAAACGAAATACACGCTTGTCATTTCTAAGTTTAATAAAAAGGTATATTTGGAAATTTTCTTTGCAAACAGTTTTAAAAGGCAGTAGACGGCAGTTAGAAATTAAAATAATGAATTCTGGGGAAAAAAAAAAAGGTACAGCAAGCCTTGCTTACATTAACAATCTGACAATTACTTATGCAAATTGAGTCAGTTCATTAACACAAAACACAAGCAATAAAAACAAAAGCCTGGTGCATGGGACAGCCTCCTAGTAAATCATACAGAATTCAAATACCGAGTCTGGATGAAATTAAATTAACTAAACTTGCGACTGCATCCAAAACTATCAAGTCTGTATCAGCCTGGAGAGTAAACAACAGCCATAGTCTGTGTGTGCATCTGTTTTTCCTTACCTAGAAGAGAGTGGTCCCAGAGGGGTTCTAAAGCAAGGTACTCCCCTAGGCCGCCTTTTCCTAAAAGCCTGCTCTATTAATTTGCTTTCAGAGGCAGGGTCTATCCTCCAGAATGAGCCTTTGCCTGGTTCTTCCTGGGAACGTGGTACTTTGATGAAATAACGATTCAGAGAGAGATTGTGACGTATTGAATTCTATGGAACATAAAAAAATATGTAGAATTCATATAACTTTTTCAAGTCAGAACGTGGCCTACTGCAGCAGTTTGTGCGACAGGAGACCCGGGGTTCAGCTCTTTTAATTCCTTAACGCAACAGGGCTTGAGCACGACAAAGGCAGTGCCACAAACCTGAAGAAAGGCCTCCTGCATTTTTCCAATCTTTCCCAATAATTAAACAACAGTATGCTAACGAGGTAATAACAGGAATCCCATTTAATTCTCTAATGAGAAACATGGTGATTGCAACAATCCGTTAGAACGCTACCAATATTTGAGTATAAAGCAGTGTAAAAAAATGAAGAATTAGCAGTCCTCACACACCACCCTTCCCCAGGCGTCAAAGAAATCGTCAGATCACTCAGAGAGGACGACTAACGCACAACATATACTGATTCTGATCTTATACGATTAACCTCTGCTGCTGCTCCATAATACATGAAGAAAAGGTTAAATTACAGAAGTTCCCAATGCAGCTGGACTGTTGGGAGTTCACCCACAGTCCAGTCTGTCTCAACAAAGCAGCCAAGGATTTAGCGTGTCTAGGAAAACAATATATGGCAGCAGGTCCTAATATTTCAGTGAGACCTTCCCACTCCACTCTAGCTCGCACATTACTTTTTCCTCACTTGGCTGTAACGCACAAAACTCTCTTGACAGAGATGTAGAAAGCCGCTAGCCCTCTGAAGTAAGGGGCTGTATCTATGCTTGGCTTTGTGCACATCCTTTTTTTCAAATGTACAAATCCAAAATCTTTCTGAGTATTATCACTGAACCTTGAGAAAGAAAGTATACATACAGAAATAGCTGAGGGCAGGGGAGGGGAAGAGAAGCACAGAAAAAGCTTTACATTAACAGAAAGTCTGCAAAATTTGCAAAAATCAAGCACAAATCCTTTTTTCAAGGCCAATTTCTTAAATGCCTGAGTTCAAGACCTTGATGGCAAGTGTGGAAAACTTAAAGCAATGATAACCATGTACGGTTTCTGAAATGCAAACTGATGAAACCAGAAATGATTTTTCCCTGCCAAAAACTGAAACAGACTAGAAAGATGCCAAGAACATGCTTATAAACTGCATTCATTTCTCCATGTGCTAGAATAAAAGAGTAAATCCAAAAGTACCTGCTAAAATAAGTCCACCGAGAGGAGTCAAGCCCTCAACAAAATCAGACTTTTGTATAATAAGGGATATAAATACCTCAATACTACTTATGGAGGTACAGGATTTGGGTATTACATACATATACGTACTATATATTTTGAATAATGTATATATAGAGTCTCGAATATTATTTAAAGCATCAATCATATAAGTTACCCTAACTGTAATCCAATACACGATGCCGAGAAGCTAGCGCAGCTATTCAGACACGAGGTACACCTGTTAGTGTTTGAGCAGTGCTTTACACGACTAGCGCCTGAACAGCATCTGATTTTCAGCTTTTCAATCGCTTTTATGAATGTGTGCTAATTATTCTGGAACGTAACGCCTGTCTGCGTCTACCACCTTGTGTTTGCTGGGTCTTATGCATCTAACTATATACACTGACCTAAGGACCAATTTTATTTGGTTCCATGATGCTGACATAAAGGAGCATTATACATATAGATATTCAAGATATTTCAGGATAGCAAACAAAAAGCACACAAACATTTTCAAAATTTGCTTCTACCGATAAAAGAGATCTGTGGGTATAGCTGCCTGGCTTCTGCATGTTGGATTCTGCATGGCTTGGGTACGGGGTGGGATTCAGACTACTAGGTACCTTCTAGACACAAGAGCCAAGTCCTACACTAGCTAAGCCATTAGCAACAAGTTAACAGACGTGACATTCCCAGCTAACCTTGGAATTCTTGTAAGAGCGATCCAACTTTTATATAGGGCCTGTGACAAATAAGTGTGTGACTAAAATTTAAGATCTACCCCTCTGCTGAGGAGGCCTGTACTCTTCAGTCTTCTACCGGCATAGTAAGCAGAGTGTTAACGCTTCCTCACTCTTCCCCTCCCCCAGTCTCGCCAAATTTTACTTCCCTGAAAATAACTCCAGAGCATGCCTCTGCTGCAGATCATGACCGTACCAAGCAGCAACCCAGTGAAACCGATACTTCGTGATCGACAGCGCGGTCTGAATGCTACACAGGCAAACTGGCCCGTCCTGCTAATTGTGCTCTCCTGTCCTTTGCTGAAACTAAAAACGGCAGCAACTGGAAGGAGTGTGCCAAACCGATTCGTGCTCAGTTAGTCATCCTGGCAAATGCCGAATCTGGTCTCTTTCAAAATAAAAAGAGAGTAGAAAATCAATTTTTACAAAATTTAAGGTCTGGTCCAACTCAGCAGGGAAATGAGCAAGTTCACAAACGGACGATGTTGCACAAATAAAAAAGGGCACGTTAACAGTGCAAGACAACAACAGGTAACAAATGCTCGCTCTTTCTCTGTACTGCATGGTCGAGACCACCATTTTCAAATTAATCTGAACATTTAATATCTTTATTCTTATCTTACGATAAGAATACATATATGCACCCAACTATGCGTTACAGAACACAACTACGTTCCCAGATAGCATACATGTATTCAAATCCACAGTACTAGTTGTGCTTGTCTTCCACAAAAGTCTGCCTGTATCTCTTCCATAGGTTTAGAGAATACCATTTTATGAATAAAGGCATGCTTCAGATATGGAGTCATTTAAATTCTTTACTCTGTTGGAGACCTTACAATCAGGAAAAAAAAACAATACACAACAATGTTAATGATCCACTCATATGACAAATTATATTTAAGAGGGGCTTGTTAGGCTCAAACACAAAATAAATTGGCCTGTTCTACATATTGTTAATGACCCTTATATAGCCACCGGCATTACTAACAACTTAAAAAAAAAAAAAAAAAACATGCTAGAGATCAAATTTACCTGCCAGCCCTTGTCTGCTGTCCTGTAGTACGGATAATTTTTAGTTATGTGCGTGTAAATTCCATTTAGTGTAAGCTGCTTATCAGGTGCCATCGTAATTGCTTGTACTATTAACTGTGCATAGGAGTAAGGTGGCTTAGAGTCATCCTGTACAAGGGGGGAAAAAAAAAAAGTCTGCATCAGTAAACTTTAAAGATAGACATAATCCTTTCTAAATTAAAAGTTACAAAACCCAATTAATTTGACTTAAGGCACTTCTGGACAACCAAAATCTTGAAAAAGAAAAAACAACTAACATAATTTAGCTCTTCTCATTAGCAGAATTTAAGATAACTGTAAAATCTGCAGAAACAAACAACATTAAAGAATGCTAATTTTCAAATGTCTATAAACAATTATATTATCAAAAATTAATACAGATCCTTCCCAAAAGGAGAGAAATAGCAAAACAAATGCTGCATCTAATCACAAAACTCTCTATATTATTATTATTTTTTTTTTATTTTTATGTCTTCAGTGCTAAATTATGGCTTCACGCACATAGTTTGGCAAACAAAAGTCCACGGTATTACATTCACTTTAGACTTCATTTATGATTTTGATTTCAAACACTGTTTACCTTTGGGCTATCTCCACCCGATGCTTCCTTGTCATTTTCTGACTGTGAATTGTCAGCCATTAAATGTAGGTCAGATGGTATTACACGACTCATTTTGTACCCTGAAGAGCCTGCACCACGGGGGCTAGATGGGCAGGAATTTGCAGCACTGTAGAGCATAAAAAGAAGATCCTACTATTTTGTTATACAGTATATCACCACATTGTGTCTAATCAAAAGCTCTTTTTGCAGAAAAGCCCACTACTAGAACTTCTGGACTGCAGTTAAGGGTCTGTCAGTATTTCCATTATAAATCCCATTTTCCAAGCGTTTCTAACTCATCCATAGGAATTAAAATCACTACAGGAAGAAACTTGTCCAATGGGACTCAGACATTCCTCCTCAAAGGAAAAAAGATTAACTGATTTATTAGGTTGCATTGTATTTGTGCAGGATTTGCCAACAAGAAAGTCTATTTTAACTACCTAAGCAACCACAAATTTTGAGACACTCATTTAAAACAAGAAACAGATCTTGCATGAAATTTCTGGCATATGCTTGTATTCACTCTGCTCAAAAAGATCATCTCTCCTTGTGTATTTTTTGCACTTTTGAGAAAATATAATGCTATAAGCTGTGAGTAAAAAAAAAAAGTTTTCTTATTTAAATATAAAACTACATGATTTTAAGTGTTTGCGTGTGTGTGTGTGTGTGTGTGTGTGTGTGTGTGTGTGTGTGTGCGTATACAGATACATACAATTATATGTATAAAAATTACAGACATACCCATAAATAGGATGCATTAGAACTGAATATTGAGTAAAATTAGATGAGTAAGTCAACAGAGCAGACACTGGGATACACTGTTACACAGTAAAAGTTACTACTACACAAGTTAAAGCTGCGGATTTTGATACCTGCTGTTTCGCCACCCATCACAGGAAAACAAACCTAAAATTAGACTATAACATTTTTTAGACTATAACATTGTTCTAATAGCTGCCGCCCTGCCTTCCCCAGTCCACACGATGTACAGCTGTACAAAGATGGCTTTCTTCTACAGTTTCCATTTTGTCAACAGGAAAGGGGCAGTCAGCGGGTGATGTGTGCCCCCTTCACCAAAAAGCTTTGGCAGCTCTCTGTAAGGACATGTATTTCTCGGCAATTTATGCTGTTAACCACTGTTTTAAGTAATAAAAAAAAAAAAAAAAAAAAAAAAGGAAAAGTCTGCTGTATCCTCAGAACCAGCCTCATGTGCAGAGACAATCTTTCAATCACTTGCACCTATGGTTTAAAAGGTCTGTGAAAAAATAAAGCTAGGGAATGTTACTTAGCTTTATACAATAAAGCTTTAAGAAATTTAAATTTGCCAAATTTTGTTTGTCTGCCTGGCCAAAAGTCTGCCTGGTCTGGAAAGTTTCTTGCTATCTTCCCTCACAATGCCTGTCATGTTTCTGTACATAAAGATTGGGTCGTATATAAAAAGACATATATTATTATTGAGCTCAAGTTTCACATCACCAGAAATCCTGCACCAATGATTTGTTGTTACTAGTGATATGTCGTACAAGGAACATCGGATTTCTCAAGCGTTGCATGGAAGAATCCTTGATTAGAGCCAAAAATGTGTAACTTTTCTTTCTTTTTTTTTTTTTTTAAATATAGGTCACTGCTGTTCTATGTTTTCACATATCAACTGACAGCATCTTTCTACTGAGCTCACTTTAGCATATATTGACAAAGCGACACATATGGTACAATCAAAGCAAGTTTACAAGTCTTCTACAAAACAGGATGATTTGAAGAGAAACTGTCAAGCTTTGCTCTCAAAATAGACTCAAAACTGTCTTTTTTTTTTTTTTTTGGTAATAAACTATAGCTCAACAGGTGCATGAAAGCCCTGAAGAGAATTACAAAATTCATAGTGAGGCAAAGACTGTGGTGATATATGTGATATTAGCTGAAATATTTATGAGCTGCTCTGTCATTTCTTGGGCAAGAAACGTTTCCCCTGAATTTCAATAAGAAAGGCAACCTGTTATACAGTCAAGTCGAGATCTCTTTTCTCTCTACTTCCACCATTTATATAGATCTCATTAAACATTACCGTATTGAGATCAAGATCTTGGCAAGCATGAAGGAAGTCAATTAGCCTTACATTCAAATTTCATTAACAACATCTACATTTTAAAACCATCAAGCATACGATCTTCACAGTGCTCCACTCAAGTGAAAATACAGGATGTGAGAGAGGGGAACAAAACTTTCAAAAGCCCGCAGGTAATTTTTGAAACATAACTTTCAGTGCCTTCGCATGAATTTTTTGCTCCTGAACTTTCTATGCCTTTTAAAAATTTCGTTTCCAGTAGTTTTATGAGTTTGTGAGGACAGCTAGCTTATGTTGAAGTGAATGTGATCCCAAAACACAAAGGCAGATGACAGCCTCAATCACAACATTAACCAGGATAGCAAGTCGCAAACCTAAATTAACTTCCCCTGCAAAAGTTTTCCCGACCCTAAACTCCTCGTATTACATTTAGTAATTTTCAGTAAAGCTTACATTTACTTCCAGCAATGACTAATCAATAACAAATCCTCTTTGGTGCAAGGGATCAGTTTGTTTTCCAGTGTAATGATTAATAATTGCTAAAAATAATATTTTTTTTCCTGTTGATGAACTTAAGGAGACAGTGGATATCAAAATACTTCTAAATTATATAATTTAGATCTCACTCAAAGTATTCCCATAAGCATTAAAAAGTAAAAAAAAATTTCTAAAGTATCTAGAATGCAAGAAAAAAAAAATTTACATTCATCTGCTGCTCGAGGAGCCAGACTCCTGAGTAAACTGTTACACTTTTAACAAATTAAAATTGAATATTAAAGCCTGATCATGTAACTGTCTTAATAGGTAGAAGACCAGTAATTTTCTCCAAGGGTGGTTACTCTTGAGCTTCAACTTAAATTTTACTATATAAGCAAAATACCTGAAATGACTAAGAAAGCTGCCTTAACTCGGTAGCCATACGTTGCCCTATGTGCAACGGGCAGGGCTGAAATACCTGATGGTTCCTGTGGGAGAAGGGAGAGGGCTGATCAGGTGAGCCATGTTGTCTGGAATGTTTATTGTCAGGGGAGAGATCTGGGGTTGCACAGGCTTCACTGGGGACTCCGGGGCCTCCTGTTTTTCTCTTTTTTCATTGGACAGAGCTGTGAATGTTATCTTGATGTTTGTGCTGGGAAACCTGAAAGTACAGCTGGAAAATAAAACACAAATATATAAGCGACTTGTTTACTGAAAGTAACAATTTTGGCATAACTCGCACGTATCACCTAACCCTCTTTAAAAATAAAACGGTATGGTAGCTTACATAATTAGTGGGAGCATCCGCGTTTTACCGATCGCACAGAAAAATCGGTATGACCAAAGATCTTCAAATCAAGTGTTTTTCAAGTTTGGAACAGAAATATAAACAAACGTGTACTTATTTGCAACAAGGGTAGTTTATGCACCGTCTCTAAATTTGCTGCTGTTCATCCTGATCCTGCAGCTACCCCTAAAAGCAGTACCTTTTTGAAGACACGCGGCCACTGCTTAATGGTAGGTAACAAAGAATGGCTTTTGCAAACCAACTAGTGTACCCATAATATCAAAATTAATCAGGAACATAAATGTCTGCGGTTCTGAGGCCTACGCAGTTTCACATACTGCGTTTTCACATAGTGGAAAAAAAATTCTTTTCTTTTTTCCTTCTTAAAATATTCATTTAGTTAAACATGTAGCAGTCCCAATTCTGACCATTCAGAGGGTATATTGCTGTTGTAGTACCACATTCAAATATAATCTATTTTTAGATCTGAATCAACGTTCAATAAATCGTCTATTTTTATAAACGACTAGCTTCTATACTTCCCCCTAAATTTAAAAGATTGATGATAACCTGAATAAAGTAAATCAATGTGCAATTTTTTTTTTTAATTTGCAAAATATAATATAACTAATGCACCTTTAAGCGTTTTCCTTTTTACCTGCCGGCATATAAGCATTTAGAAGTTAACCCAATTAAACAGAACAGGTTATTTATAACTTCTCAGTAAATAAACAGATTGAGCAAAGCAGCAGCTTCATTTTCTCTCAGCAAAAGCATCTACAAAAACACAGCTCAGGTAACTTTACTATCTCCTCTTTCTTAATTAAGCTGTTGCACTCCGCTCGGCACTAAACCCACAATTATGTTTACACTCCTCTTCCATATGATGGAGAGGACGATGCCAGCGGCACGCTACCTGGAAACTAACCTTAGACAACGTTTCTACAGGTGAACCAGGCAGACCTAGTTTTACAGAGCAAGGAGCCAACAGCACTCTAGAACAGGGACAAGAAGAAATTTTGTTTACACTGTGTATCTTGCGTTTAGAGCTGAAGCGATCGTTCATCCGAAAAAACGTTTTAGAAGCGATGTAAGAATTGGAAGGAACGTTCAACTGTAGAGTAGCCTTAAAAATCATGAAGACTCTCACAGGTTTCTTGTCTCCTTCTTAAAAAATCTAAGGGTGTTGTTGTTTTTTTGTTTTTTTTTTAAAGAACGACAGCATGCGATTTGCACTACATTTCTTGCCACGCACGCGTACACGGCATGTGGCGGTGACTCCCCCCAACGCATGTCCTCAAGGAGGAGGAAAAAAGAAGCAGCAGCAGCGATGACCCTTCCTTTTCGCTCTCAGTCTTCCTTCTCAGCACGGACCACGTTCGGACTTAACGGACGACCCATTTCTGAAACACGCTCAAAGTACTAAATTAGGAACCGAATCCATGCCAAAAAACTGCACGTGCATTTCAGCAAGAAAGTTACACAGACCAATTTCTGGGTGTTTTTATTCTTCGGTAACAGCTCACTTTACTTTTTCCTGTAGAAAGTGTTTTTCCTGTGTTGTTCCAGCACCAAATGAAAGCGGTCTCAGCTGTTTTGCGCTATGTATTGTATAAGGCTATTCCAAACCTGCAACTTCAACTTAATACCTTTTGGATAAAACTTATTTCAACTTAAGAGCAATGCAGAAACAGCTGGACATCACTTTAGACGCTCAGTCACTGGTTAGAGTACTGCTTGCCCAGCAGGCAGCGGCCCCCAGTGCCCGGGGCGGTAAGGATGGGGAGGAGGGCGTGCTGCACGGCTTCAACACAAGTACTAGAAAAATAAAACCACAGAAAACATATACTCCAAAACCACCCCAATATCCTTCCCTATAGGTACGCATACTTTAAATAAATAAATAAAGACCCCCTTTCTCACATTACTACACGTATCATCTCCCCTGGAAGCATCCTTTGCCAAAAGGTACGGTAAACTTCACAGGTAGGACTGCAGCACAAGCACAGCCCAGAGGTGGCCTCAACTGCTGATCAAGTATGAAAAAAGCCAGGAGCTTTGACTAATCAACTTATACTCAGGGAATGTATTTAAAGCCTGACGGTGTTACTGTTTAGTTTACAACATTTCACACGCTGAGCCTGAAAGGATGGCGTTACTGGAGAAGGCACAACATCCTCACCAGTCGCTGTCTGGTTAGAACATGCGAACACCTGAATCTCTACATTATCAAAACACTGCATCTGTCAATGGATTTGTATTTGCAAACAGAACTTTTAGATAGAAGCAGTGTTGCGTTTTTGTAATAGTTGGAATATAGCCAAAAAAAAAAAAAAAAGTGTATATAACCAACAGATTTTCTGAACAAATTGCATCAGCGCACACATATTACATCATTTCCAGAACCAGCATAAGGAACACGTTCTAGTTTGATCAGAATCAAGTCGTATTGGTACTCTTTAACTACCTGTAGTCGTACCATGAGCTAAACAAGAACCGCAGCACACGGAGGGAGAGGCCTGCTCACACATTTAGTCTACAGCAAGTCGAAACTGATTTTATTCACTGCTTAAAGTGCTTACAAGAGTTTTAGGATGCATGACCACAGGACAGTTGCTATAGAAGAAAGGCATCCATACAACTCACCTAAAAAAAAAAAAAAAAAACCTGCAAAATTTGTCACTCTGTATCTCATCTACTTAACGAACTACCATTTTTCCTTCATAGGAAGGAGATGCCATCCAGAATAAGAAATCAAATAGATCCCCTAAGTCTGATCAAATAGGTTTCTAAGAAAGGTTTGCAAAACATCTGTATTTAAGAGTCGTATGACAAAAAGCGTGTATGTTAGGTATCTAAGTGATGAAAACAAATAACTGATTTATTTAACTGATATACCAACATCATTTTATGCATCTCAGAAGCAAATAGTCACAGCATCCACATTTAAATAATTTTGCATGTTTGTTTATTTTGAAGAGTACTTATGTTGTACTTTCTACAGAGCAGCAAAAAGGAAGACAAACCGTACAATCTAAGAAGCTGCGGCAGAGGTGACAAAATTAAAATGCAACTCAAGATCCTACTTATTCTTTTACAAAAGTTCATTCTGGGTTCCATTTCTGGAAAGGATGAGAGGGGAGAAAACAGACAAGAAGCATCAAATCACCTCAAATTATTCCCAAGAAACAAGAACTATTACTATCTCTACAGCACGCAGTGCAATAGAGACCTGCTGGTCTAGGCATTACTACTATTTAAAGAGTTTAGCAACTTTGCAGGGTGCCACGTAACAGTCCTGTGGGAAAATGTGCACAGTCTAGTTGTATTTGTCACATCAATATTTTTAATATTTGCTTATTTTCCTTCAGCGGTTCCAGCTGTACTGCAGGGAACACCTAATTATACACCTGCAATTCTGCTAAATGAAAATATCAACCGACTGAAAATTAGTAATTCTGTCTTCTCTCAATCTTGGGCACAAAAATATGAAACCAGGAAATCAATTTCCTCCCCTGATTCAAGCCTCACCACGAAACCCAGTGCCTCAGGATCCCCTGAATTATCCCATCTTAATTGTCTTTCAAAAACTGAGACAGAAAACTGGACACAAGCTGCCCTCCTACATTTCTTGAATCAGCACCTCCAGATTTTAGGCTGAAATAGGTTATAAGGATTCAATACTGGTAACTCCCTAAGTCACGGTAGTCACAACTCTACGGTTCAGTCCTTTCAGAGCGACAAGCATACTGCAACACCAGTAACTTCAAGGATTCCCCCGTATTTTAAAGAGATCTAAAAGGATAACAAGACAACAGCTTTGAAACTCCTGACGGTTTCCTGAAAGCCAGGGAAAGCTGCAGCTTTTTACATTAAGAAAGCTAACACCCACAAAAAAAGAACCCAGCCAGGCTTTTGGAGATATTCGAAGTCAAAAGTTCACAAAAACAACCTTAAATGCAAGCGTGGGTAATTCATCTCAAATAGAAACTGAGGTAATTAACAACACCTGTACCGCGAGACAGGTTTTTTTCCCAACTTAGGTTTTCTTTGACAGTATAGCAGACAAAGACGATACTGTTCATACCTCCTTCTCCAGCCCTACTTTGGTCAGGGAACTCAGAAATCACTGTACTTAAAGATATGGCCTCCCTTCCACGGAAGGGTGAATTCTGTAGCTAACCCACAGTCATCTTTTTATTTTAAGGACAGCTTTCGTCCCTTTTCTAATTTACCTTGCTTTCTTAATTCTCATGGAGGACTTTGGTGTTCGCGGCAAATTGCTACAGAGACGTCTGTCCCCTGCCCCCGGTCACCGCTGAGTAACAGCACGGACGGCAGTTCTGCGAGGTTAGAAAGCCACCCGTGGGGAACCACTTCCGCCGGGTTCTTACAAGTCACTTTTTCCAATCAAATCTAAGATCAGCATGTCAAAACTGGGTGGCATCCAACCATCCATGGGAACATGGTATTTCAAAATTACAATTTGTAGGACTCTCAGCTAATTAGTGGATTTCCATACGCAGGAACATGGGGCACACCTGCATCTTTTCTCCATTTGTTGCTTCATGTCTTATCGATTTCATCACGACAGATTGTTAGGAAATCGGTTCTAAATTAAACTAGAGCTGAAGTATTATTTCACGTAGAACTTTAAATAAGCAAGGACTAAATGATGAGTCTTTATAAAAACAGTTATAAATACTCTGGAGAAAAAAAAGCTCAAGAAAAAGTACAGTTACCTGTAAATTCAGTCTTTGTATAGTCTCTATATTGTGCTGTTACAGGCTGAGGACAGGGGCGTCCGAGAAGAAAGACTTGGAGCTGGTTCCCCTCACAGACCAAAACGACACACACAAAACCAGTATGAAACCCGTGACCAGAGA